CTGGATGCCTCCTGATGGCACCAGAACACCACCTCCACGACGAGGCGAAAATGCTCCCAATTAGGGAGTACAACACGATGCTCTGCAAGCAGTTTCTTGCTGGGAGCCAGAGATGTGGCCACCCAAATAGACAGCTGCTTGCAGAGGAGCCCTCGCCGAGGCACGTCAGGAGGCATCTATATGAACAGACGGACGAAGTCCAGAGGTTCATTAAGCAACCTCTGGACCCGTCAGCTCACGGCTTGAATGCCAAAGATCGTGGTGCGCATTGAAGTCACCTACTACCAATCGGTTGTTGTCCTTGTCTCCCGAGGCAGATGCAGCTCCGTCGCGTCAATGTTCGGTGTTTGTGTGCCTGAACGGCATTCACAGGGACGCTGTCTCGAGTTATGTAGACTCAAGACCTGTGAATGCTGTTCTAGGCACACAAACACCGAACATTGACGCGACGGAGCTGCATCTGCCTCGGGAGACATGGGCAACAACCGATTGGTAGTAGGTGACTTCAATGCGCACCACGATCTTTGGCATTCAAGCCTGGCCAATGATCGGAGGGGAAACATTTTGGCTGAGCAGATAGACGATTCTACATTCTGCACCATGAACGACGACGCCCCCACCAGGATTGTGGGCAGCTGCAGCAGCTCGCCAGACCTAACAATTGCTAGCGCTGGTCTGATAAATAGCATATCATGGCGACCTATGCTAACGTTAGCATCAGACCATCTGCCCATAATCATCTCGATCAATAAGCCCACCGACTTTGCTCCCGCGGATCACCGAACCTACACCAACTTCAACAAAGCTGATTGGAACGGCTTCGCGGAAGTTACCGAGAGCAGCTTCGCCGCCCTCCCCACACCCACAGACGTACATGCTGGCGAACGCCAGTTCCGCAACAGGGTAGTCACTGCCGCAGCAGCTCGCTTCATACCGTCCGGACGTATCGCGGAAGTCCGCCCAAATTTCCCGGCTGAAGCAGCTGTACTAGCAAATGAGCGTGACCACCTACGCCAGGTCGATCCCGGGAACCCTCGCTTGAGGGACCTTAATTTGGAGATTCGGCAACTGGTAAATCAACATAAGCGGAAAAAGTGGGAAGAGCACTTGAAGGCCTGTAACTTCACCTCCGGTGTGAGCAAGCTCTGGTCAACCGTGAGGTCCTTGTCCAACCCGACGAAGCGTGATGACAGAGTGGAAATCTCATTCGAAGGTCACGCTTCGTCGGACCCGAAGAAATGCGCGAAGTATTTTAGTCGGCAATTCACACTGCATCCTTCGGTAGACAAGGCCAAACGTCGAGTGACCAGGAGGCTGCACAAACTGCCCAAACACAGTGCACCA